TAGTAACTTTCCTGAGGAGTGAAATACAGAATAAAAGAAAGCCATGCCTTTTGCAGCAAAGGGGCAGGATTCACCCTCACCAAGCATGAGAGAGCGGGAATGAAAAATGTGTCCGTTTCTGAAAAAGGCCACCCTTGAGTGTCCTCCTCCATATCTGCAAAGGCAATTTCCTGAGTGGAATTCCAGATCAAAAGGCTGATTCCCACTCTGCCGTAGTCCCTGGGACACTTGCAAGCATTACAGTCAGCAGCAAGTTGAACGGCAAGCAATACGTGGTAATTCAGACAGTATAAAAGCAACAAGTTAATGCTGAGGTTTTTTTGACACACACAGCCCTGCCTTGTATAACCATTCTTTTCTTCCAAACAGAGAAAGCCTTATTTGCTGTTAAAAATGACAGTGCTCTCCAAAAATCTGAGGACTCTTGAGGCTTCTAATGGGGGTCAGGGGTATCAGAGCCAGCTTGATTCATTCTGAATATGTGTTGTCTTTTTCCACCATCACTGGCAACGGCAAGCTTCTCTACAACTTAGAATGGACCTAAATCATTACATCACTTATCTGGTTTATTAGTCAAGTTTACTACCAGCATGTATGGCATACCTACAGAAACTGTCAGTTTTACTGCCAAAGCACTTACCAGCATTCAAAAGTAGGTTCACACCTGAACTGTGGCAAGCCTGCTCTCCTCACTCCATCCACGCTGCCTGAATTTGCCTTTGGCAAAGTGACCCTTCCTGCACTGGTATGCTAGACTTCCTCACAAACAGTTGTCTGTGTATGACCTATGTGTACTATAAATTTAGCAGAATGATTTAGCTTCCTTAGGTACAGCACTGCAAACAATGCAGCTGGCTGCTTGTCCCCCCCTAACCTTGTTTCACCAGGGAAATCGGAAGCCTAACATCTTCCTGCTTCATCATTCACAGTCAGAGATAGTTCCCTTTATGTTTCTGTGCTCCTAAACCCTTTGGTTCCCCATGGGGACCCTATTTTCCCCAATATTACCATTAATAATACCAACTATATTTCTATTAGAGTGTGGATCAGAACCCCACTGCTGCATGGAGCTTATCCCAATGAGGGACACGACGCACAAGGCTGGGCTAGCAGGATAAGTACTTAGGGGATGGATGGATGGATGGAAAATCCCTTTGCACTCAACCTCAAAGTGGCACCCCCCCACACACACACACACACACAACACATAGCATGTGAACATGACTGGTCTGTAAACTTGCATGTTGGCAAATTAAAACAGTTACTACCTTTACTCAAGTTTGTTAACTTTTCAACACTGTACAGAAAGAAAAAATAAGTTTAGTCTGAAAATAGTACAGCTTGTTTTTGTTTAAATTTTACTCAAGATTTTTTTGACCATAACAACCTACTTTACCAGAGTTGCAACCATTCCATGAATAAGTTAGTTGAAGGAAGTTGTTATTTTTTGCATGTTTCTCTAATATAGGTTGATTACAGATTTATTTGAGCCATGCAAAATAAAATTAAAATAAAAACTTAAATTAATTAACTTATTTAGATATTGACATCTAACATGCATATTTTTGCATCATTAATTCAATTCAATGTATTGTTATATAGTGTCACAACACAATCACACCAAGGCACTTGATAAAAGTGTGCGGCCATGCAAATACCCTCCTGGTGCTCCTGTGGTTGAAAAAACGTTGCTAAAGTGCCCTTAAGAGTGGTGAAAGACCGCTGTTGGCTGCCCTTCACAAGGAAAAGAAAGTGATTGACGGTTTTTTAATCTGTAAAGCGCAGTGATACAGCTGATGCAAAATGTCCGAGAGTCATTCTCTGATAATCGCACTTAAAGAATTCCACTTGTCCAAACAGATTTCTTAGTCGGAATTATTATATAAAATAAATTAATAAATATATGTATATCAACATGAACTGTTCATTGCACTTGTCCTCCTTTAAAACATCTCAATTTAACATTTCCTATTAGAAAATCTGCCTTACCCTGCCTTCACGTCGGAAATCGTAAATACAAGTTGAGAGGACACGTACGTTACTACAAAGTCGTATTTATCAGTGGGAAAATCGGGATTTTCTTTAAGCCCAGAGTTCCCGAGTTGGGGGTCTGTCATTACAACAATCAGGGCGGGATAGCTGCACTGTGAGAAACAAATTATTTTGAAAGTATTGTATTTTTTATATCGTGTGTCATTGCAAAACTGAATTGTTTTTAATGGTGAGGAGATTGCTATTAAATGGTGTAGCCTGAAAATTATAGGATTTTGTCTCAATATTTGATATCTAATTGGTCATCCACCTGCTGTTTGAACAAGTGATTGCGAAAAATTCAATTAACGCTACAGATGCGTTTTGGCGTCGGAGGAACGAAAAATACAGTAAAACAAAAAGTACCTTTCTTTTCGCCTCCATTTGGCTTCGACTTAACCACTCGAACACGCGTCATATAGCAATTATGATTTTCCAACTCTCTAGTCGGATCTTCCGAGTAGGACTTGAAGGCAGCATTAGTCCCTAATATGGACATCATGGCCCTTCCTTAAAGGGGCGGGAGAGACGATACAAACTGTTGGGAAGCTTGTCCGTCGTTCAGCCGAATAAGAAAGGAACAGCAGTATAAGAAAGTTGCTGCGTCGCTCTTGGCTCCATTCAACATCGCGTCCCACGGCGGTTTGTGGAACGGAAGAAAACGTGAATGAGTAACCAAACTGTAGCAAAAGTGTAATTTTATCGGAATGTACGCTTGTGTGTGCCTAGTACGGTGTTTTATCTTGACGACATTACCTTGATCATCATATAAAGAACAAACGCGTAGGTCATGTAGCCTACCAGTTTTTCATTGATGAAAATGCTTTTAAAATATTACATTGTTGCGAAGATCATTGCTTTCAGGAATAAATAATGCTCTCGTTGCGCGCCTGGGGTGGTTTACTACCGTAAGAGTGCTGCTTTACATACACCCATTCAGGGCTAGTTGTCATATATCTCTTTAAATAAGTTTTCACATATAAACCGTAAAAGTTTATATCTTCGATATTTCTTCACGGACATATGAGACTTTTCAAGAGAAACATTTGAAGTGAAATTAATTGACTTCTTCAGTGGACATCGACTCATCTTGACCTGTAAGACCGTTAATTCACAAATTGGGATTTAGGAAAACCCGAAACTAGACACTGTGAAGTAAGACAATAATCGGATATTCTCAGGAGAAGAGCGTCTTCGGGAGAAGTACGCGCTGCGAGCCACTGTCCTTGAACCAAGTGCTGAGAAGCGAAGTTGCCATAAATGAGCAGCCTTTTGCGGAGGCTCCACGTCGGGCAGCAAGATGAGCCTGCGGCTTCTGCAGCTGACGCTGCTGGCTTATCTGCGGCTTGCTAGCACAGAGGTAGGACCGTGCATCGCGCACCTTGGACGTATAGCTCGGCTTTACCCGTTCAGGTGCCTTTAATTGCCATGACATTTGTAAATGAATCCACTTTTGGCCAGAGGCTTTTTTTGTTTTGTAATGTGCTGTTTTGGAATGTGGTACGATAGAAATTGTAATCCATTTAATTAATTTCGTGTTTAATTTATACTTTTTTTTTTAAAAAAAAGGGGGTATCTAGGAATCCATCGTCAGGGGTATGGTCTTCCTCCAAGTGAAACGCGCACAGACATAAAAATTTTACATGTCAAGTTTGACAGCAACGGTAAACACCGTCCGGATTATAACAGCATAATTATGAGGCACGTTAGTAATACATAATGTGTATTACTATTGAACTTTTTATAATATAAAATTTTTGAATTATGGTTGCTTATATTAATTATAATTGGTCCACTACTCATTCCATAAAGGCTGATAGAATGTGTAATATCGATGTATTGGGGAGTGGATTCCTGGGTGTTGGGAGCATTACTTAGCTGACACTGTGATTAACAGCTCGCCCTGAGCAATGAAGTGATAGGGAAAAAAATGTTTTAAACAGACTGTATGGGAAGTCCCCAGTGGTACAATATGACTGTGTGCCTGCTTTGTATCTGCATGTCAGCAGTGAGCCAGACCCATAATTACTCCTCTTTGCAATTCACCTTTCACCTCTTACAGCCCACACCTGACATTCCTTAGTTGCTCTAGCTCCTCGTAAAAAACTCCAAGTTTTTGCACTGTGGTTCTGATAAGCAGCCTGTTATACTGACCTGTCGGCTATGTCTCCTGTGCTTGAACACAAGGCGTGATGTGAATGTCCACGCTGTTGCTTTTTAAACGACATAATGCAACTAAAATGGATTGATCGTGCGGCTTAATCAGGTGTGTGCTTCTGTTAAAGGACAAGTATTGGAAAACATTGTAAAGAACAGCCACCATAACTGACCGGCCACTATGATGGAACACCAGACTTTCCATAATGAAACGTTGAGCCTGACAGCAGAACCCAGGCTTGGTTTCACTGCGTGCATCAACAGAGACCCGCAGGCAGATTCTACTGCACACTGCACACCTCAGCCATTTAATGCGCATGACACCCTGCCAAATGGCAGGTAAGAATGCTATTAGAAGGGCTTTCAGTGTTGACAGTTGCACCAACTGCATGTTTCATGGAGCCGACGGTGTACAAACACAGGCTCATTAGCGTTGCACTAATGAGGAACACTGACATAATAAGACATGTTCCTAATTAACCTGGAAATGACTTGACAAGAGCCATTCTGTTATGCTTGGAATGAGATATACTGCATTCAGACAGATACATACTCCGTGATGTAGACCTAAATCATACAGGAATTTACACCATGATGTATAACTAATTCAGCTGCATATGTTGTAAAGGCAGCAATGAAAACACCCTTTTACAAGCCCAATGACCATACATTTGACAGATATCATTCATGGCCAAACAGCCAGGTCTCTTGACTCACCAAGTGCAGGCCATTTGGGTTTGTATGAGTTGCATGGCCGTAAATTACGGGGGGGATGGGGGGGTTGTAGCCCCCCCAATAAATCAAAACCAGCTAATACAACCCTCCAAATAACCATGTTTCCCTCGTAATGGGTGGAGACCTCAACCCCCCCAATGTTCCACCCAAAGTTACACCCTTGAGGAGTTGGTTGAGCGTAATTCGGCGTCAAGCCACATAATCCATTACGTTGTTATTATAAGGGAATGTGCCGCAATTTGGAACAATAGGGTACAGCAGCGGAATAAGGGCTAAGTTTCAAATCACTATCTGAGTCTTCTGCCTGAATACTGTGGGCAACAGTGGCTCTTTAACCCTAATTGTCAGTCTGTTTGTTGTTTGTCTGTCTGCCTCGTGACCCCTGGCAGGGAGTTAGGAATGCAGATATTCACACCTCTCTGCCTATGCCTCCTCACCTATGTGGAAATGTCCACAGCTTATGTAGCTCTGCTGCTGATGTGGAATCTCTGATTGTTAATATACCACCGGGTGCTGCGCAGTGCACCTGTACTGTATGCTGCAGGTTATAACTGCTCTATGTTATTTTATTCATTCATTTTGGAAAATTTGGGGGGTCGCTCCCCCCAGAAGAAGTAGGGGCTATAGTTCCCAGTGTGGTAGGGGCTAAAGTCTTAGTTGTGGTAGGGGCATGAGTCCGCGTGTGGTAGGGGCTAGAGACCCCAGTGTTGTTTGAGCAAGAGTCTGAATTTGGGGCTAGGTCCCCTGTGACGTAGGGGTCCCACAGTTTTGGTGGTATTTTATTATTATTATTGTTGTTTTATAATTATTTTTATTGCTACAATAATTATTATTTTTTGATTGATTCTATTGTTTATTTTTTGTGATTTTGTGTATGCTTATTTTGACTCCTTTCTTTTAAATGACTGTTCAGCACTTTGTAAACCATGTGGATTAAACAGTGCTGTATAAATAAAGATTGATATGTCACAGTAAATTGATATGTCTGAGGTAAACATCACAGTGTATGTACCTGTCTGAATGAGGTATACATCATGGTGTACATACCTGTCTAAATGAGGCACATGTCATTGTGTACATACTGGTGTGAATGAGGCATACCTCACAGTGCATAGACCTGTCTTAAAGAGGCATACCTCACGGTGTATGTGCCTATTTACCCTGAATGAGGCATACCTCACAGTGCATAGACCTGTCTTAAAGAGGCATACCTCATGGTGTATGTGCCTATTTACCCTGAATGAGGCATACATCACAGTGTACACACCTTTCTGAATGAGGTGTACTACATGGTGTATGTACCTGTTTACCCTGAATGAGGCGTACATCAAGATGTGCATACCTTTCTGGGTGGTGCGTACATCACAGTGTGCATACCTGTCTAAAGAAGGTATATGTCATGGTGTTCGTACCATGAATGAGACATACCTCATGGTATACATACCTGTCTGAGGTAAACATCGCAGTGTATGAAATTGTCTGAATGAGGCATCATGCTGTATGTACCTTTCTAAATAAGGTGTGCACTAGGATGTATTTATAGTACCTGTACGTTTGATTCTGATGTGATTCTGTCAGCTGCTGACAGACTGTAGATTCAGAAAGGTTGTGTGGCCAGGATCCGGTGTGTTTGTATCTCTGACGGGCGTTTCCTACTCCAGGGGAATCCGGCACCTGTTTCCCTGGTGGAGCTGGTGAGAAGCCCCGCGTCTTCGGTGGAGGACCTGCGTCTGATGATGCTGACTGACTCCGTAGGTAAATCAGCTACCTCATACTGAAACACAGAAAACCTGATGAACAGAATACCCATGCTGATGCTCTAACACCAGCAGGTGGCGCTGTGATTAAGAAACTGGCCTGCCCACTGATGTAAATAATACATGATTGAATAATACATGATGGACACCTGTCTTCCTGAAGACAAACTTCAGGTTATATTTTTCCATATAGTCAAACACATATAGCAAGACCATATCTGTCTTGAACATGGTATACATGCACGTACCTATTACAGAACACAGGCAGGCTAAACTTTTAGGTTGTAATCAGTATTGTGCTCTGCGCTTCTGCTAATCAGCATGCATTCCCGTGGGTTTGCATACACACAGCTGGCTTGGCATCCTCCTGCTTCAGCCCAATGGTTGTTTATAACAGTCGATTGATTGCTTGAGCCCACATATCTCACTGACTGTATTACCCACTTATGTTTATACAGCTAGAAACAGATTAAATATTAACTTCTATGTTAGGTATTAAACAATGTGAATGCCTTCTCCCTTCCTCTCTCTCTCTCTCTCTCTCTCTCTCTCTCTCAGAAGAGGATCCAAACAGTCCATCACACAAGGACATACAGTCCAATGAAACCATCAGTCGGATACCCAGAAGTCTTGGTGAGCCTGTCTCTCTGTTTGTCTGTCTTTCTGAATATACAGCTGACACTCTGACAGTGAACATGGCCACGTGAGAGCATGTGAATAAGGTATATGTGCTACTAAACACACAGAGAATAAACANTTCTGAATATACAGCTGACACTCTGACAGTGAACATGGCCACGTGAGAGCATGTGAATAAGGTATATGTGCTACTAAACACACAGAGAATAAACAATGTGAATCATGCCTTACACGAACACATTTCCCATTACACAAACACATTAAAATGCTCTCATCTATCCATCATCTATCACAGTGAGCTCATCCCCAGAAGCACAGGGCAGTGTGCATCCTGGATGGGAGGCTAGGCTACTGCTCACTGTGATAGATGATGGATAGATGAGAGCCATGATGCTATGAGCTCGTCCTGGTGAGTGGTAGTTAAGCATGAGCCTTCAGACCCCAGTGACGAGCTCTGAGCTGTCTCCGGTGGTGCCCTAGGAGTCCAACCCGCTCAGCAGGCCCTCTGCAAGGTGCGAACAGAGGTGCTGGAGGTCTCCCGCACTATGCTGGATCGTCGCAATGCCAACTTCCTGCTGTGGCCACCATGTGTAGAGGTGCAGCGCTGTTCAGGATGCTGCAACACCAAGAGTCTGCAGTGTGTTCCCACCCAGAGGCACACCCGCTACCTACAGGTACATCCCCCCCACACACCCGCTACCTACAGGTACATCCCCCCC